TGCGTAATTGGTAATAACTCTTTGAACAGATGAGTGCGATCTGCCAATGGATTTTCCAATCTTACTGTAGCTTTTGCTTTTAAGATGCAGTTTAAGTATGATTTTTCTTTCGTAAGCGCATATCTGCTTTCCCTTAGACACCATAGTCACAAATGCATATATTACCCATTAAAAATTGATTAATCAAAGAATCAAAGCGAACTATAAACAAAAATAGAATTGCATTGGACATTAAATTACGATCTTCTTTGCTGTACGCACACTTTTGAGACTGCTATTTTTAAAGGGGTTTGGGTAAAATGGTCATTATAAGAAAACCGCTAGGCTCATAATTCTGCAAAAATAAAGAGGCGACGTCAATTGAATGACTAATAGATTGAACCAATTTTTGATTCGCAGTGCAAAATATTTGCAGAGTTATTTGACATTAAAGTCAATGTTATGATTTTTTATTGTCCTGTACGCAGAGATATGAGAGCAAGTGTACATTTCATATACATACCCTTATTTGATTTAATTCTAAAAAAAAAAATATAACTCAGTAAGGAAACCACCTTCTTCTTCTTTAAACCAATAGTTATAAAATAAATAAAACATAGTTAAATTGATAAATATTCAAATGATGAAAACCTTGCAGCCATACCACCTGCCGGTGAAGGTTTCTTTTGTACAATTTGTAATGTAGTCACTGAGGGCGAAATACTTACCACACCTTGTAGACATCAATTTCATAGAGAGTGTCTATTAACTTGGTTAGACAGCAATGAGACTTGTCCTTTGTGCCGACAGCACCTAACTCGATCAGATATAAATCTAGAATCGGTGGAAGCAAGAGCTCAGGCTTTGCAGGCACCAAGCGCAGCAACAGCAGGCAGTTCAAGATCTGGAGCAATACCCAGAACTCGACTCGAATTTGGAATTTCAGTTTCGATTACAAGTCATATTAATGAACTTCAGGTAGATCAGTTAGAACATTCCGATAAATTGAACCTTAGGAAATCGGAATTAACGAGATTGAAGTCTACTATTAATCTGTTTCCTTCCTTTGAAAAAGACGGACTTGGAAAAACACTGTTAGTCGAACATTCGATCGATACGGCAAATGCTAAACCTATAAAACAGAGATTTTATCCCTTATCTCCGGCGAGAGAAAAATTACTTTGCAACGATATCGGCCAAATGATATCCCAAGATGTCATAGAAGAAGCTCCAGCTTCACCATGGTCCTCTCCAGTGACCCTAATTTTAAAACCCGGAAAAGTCAGATTTTGACGCACGAAAGTTAAACTCAGTCACAATAAAAGACGCTTACCCAATGCCATTATTAGATGGATTAATAAGTCGTCTCCCTCCTGTTCACTGTATTTCAAAAATTGATTTAAAAGATGCATTTTGGCAAATCGCTTTAGATCAGCAATCGCAGGCCAAAACCGCATTCACGGTACCCAACCGCCCACTGTATCAATTTAAGAGGATGCCGTTTGGGTTAACCAATGCTCCACAAACCTTATGTCGTCTTATGGACTTAGTCATTCCATTTAAGCTCAAATCTCATGTTTAAGTATATCTGGATGACTTGTTAGTCTTGTCCTCCAATTTCGAAGATCATTTATTGCATCTTGCAGAGGTAGCAACTCAGCTTCGAAAAGCTGGGCTGACTATAAATGTATCCAAAAGCCAATTTTGTTTGAAGCAGGTCGAATATCTTGGATATATTGTTGGAGAAGGAACCCTGCAAATAAATCCCGAAAAAGTTCGAGCAGTATCCGAATTTCCAGCTCCGAAAACCCAACGACAACTTCGAAGGTTTTTAGGAATGACGGGCTGGTATCAGCGATATATAGCACAGTATTCCACAGTGATCTTTCACTTGACAGAACTCCTAGGAAAGAAACCATTCGAGTGGAATGAGGACGCTGAAGCAGCATTTCAAGAAATAAAGTCAAGACTTTGCTCAGCTCCTTTACTGGTACATCCTAATTATACAAAAGCGTTTATCATACAATGCGACGCCTCTCTACATGGAGTTGGTGCCGTTTTATCGCAGTGTGACGAATCAGGGATTGAAAGACCCATTGCATACATGTCAAAGAAATTAAATTAAGCGCAAAGAAACTACACAGTAACAGAACTAGAATGCCTTGCCGTTATTTTAGCTGTGAAAGAGTTTCGAATGTATGTAGAGGGTCACCCGTTTAAGATCGTAACTGATCATGCGAGCCTTCGCTGGTTGATGAACTAATCGGACCTCAGTGGCCGACTGGCCAGATGGGACATCAAGCTCCAAAGATTTACGTTTGACATAGAGCATCGCAAAGGATGTGAAAACGTAGTTCCAGACGCATTATCGCGATCCTTTGAAGACGAAGAGCCTATCGCCTCGATAGAATTCGAAACCCTGCCTAGAATTGATTTAGAATCCAAAGCTTTTCAATCCGATGAGTATTCTTCACTCAAAGAAAAGTTTAAGGTTGCGAATTTACCAGATTTTCAAGTAATTGACAACTATCTATACCATCGGACTTGTTTTCCCTCTTTAGAAAACCAAGATGAGGATTGGAAATTATTCGTCCCATCAGAGCTTAGGGATGAAGTGATTCGCTCCAATCATGACCAACCATCGTCTGCTCATTGTGGAGTCGCTAAGTGCTTAGAAAGAATTCGACGTAGCTTCTACTGGCCACGACTGGCTACAGACGTGCGGGAATATATAGCTCGATGTGAATTATGTCGAACTTCTAAACATCCGACAGTTGGCCTCAAACCGCCAATGGGAAGCCAAGCGACTAGCGAAAGACCATTCCAGCGTCTTTATGTCGATTTCATAGGACCCTTTCCACGAACCAAGAAAGGCAACATCGGCATCTTTATTATACTAGACCATTTTTCAAAGTTTACGTTTTTAAAACCAGTGCGGAAGTTTACTTTCAATGTCATAATCGAGTACTTGAGAGAAGAAAATTTCCCTGGCTATGGCGTTCCGGAAACCATTGTTAGCGACAATGGAAAACAATTTAAGAGCCACGACTTTGAAGAATTTATTTCTAAATACGGAGTTAAACATTTGTGTACAGGTGCCTATGCTCCCCAATCAAATGCTGCCGAAAGAGTTAACCGCTCCATTAATGCTGCTCTTCGATCATATGTGCGGAAAGATCAGCGGGAATGGGACACCTATCTTAGTGCAATCAATTGTGCCCTTCGGAACTCTATCCACCAGTCCGTTGGAGCTGTTCCTTATTTGGTTGTGTTTGGACAACACATGATTACTCACGGCGAAGACTTTAAGCTGCTTATAAAAATCTTGAATTACTTACAGAAAGCAGTGCCAGAATAACTCGCGAAGACGAATTTTCAAGAAGTAGGTCAGATATATGCAAGAATTTGGAGAAAGCATATACTAAAAATCAACGAGCGTATAATTTGAGAAAACAACCGCGCTCCTTTGAAATAGGTGATAAAGTTATTAAAAGGAATTTTCAACTTAGTAATATGGCTTCTCATTTTAACGCTAAACTAGCACCCGTAGGAATAAAAGCTAGAATTAGACAAAAATTAGGTACAAATATATATAAGTTAGAAGTGGCTATCTGACTGGCGTATCAAAATAAATGAACAAAAGTGTAAGCACATAACGTTTACTTTCAACAGACAAACATGCCCTACGTAGCACGCAGATCCCAGAAGTCAACGTGGTAACGTTTCTGGGCGTCCACCTGGATAGACGCCTAACATGGCGAAGACATATTGAATGCAAGAAACTTCATCTAAAACTAAAAGCCAGCTGCCTCCACTGGCTCATAAACTCCCGATCGCCACTGTGTCTGGACTACAAGGTCCTGCTCTACAACTCCACACTAAAGCCAATATGGACGTATGGCTCCCAGCTTTGGGGGAACGCGTGCAGCACCAATCTAGACATCATACAGCGCGCCCAATCAAAAATCCTGAGAACTATCACTGACAGAAGCCGTCTACTATGTAACGACCTTCCAACCCAGCCAAGGCCATTTACTCTGTACCAGTCTACATGACTGCTAGTTAGGTAGTATTGTAAGATTTAATACACTTATTGTTAGTCTAATAAATGAGAAGATTCAATAAATAAAATAAAAGCCAACCCTAAAAAAAAAACAAGCGCAGAAGATATTGCTGCCATATTCGCTAGACATTGGTCATCTCGTTCAGAGGCAATTTATTCCACGCGTTCTTAGATGCCAAACAAAAAATTTACAGACAAAACAATAATGAATACACACATAAGGCAGCTGATTTTATGAAAAAACAAATTGAATATCTACAATTCTGCCTAGCTCTAAACTGCCTAAAAGGACACAGCCCTGGAAATGACAAAATCAACGACAACACCAACAGCAGCGGTCAACGACAACAACTACAGCAGCGGCCAACGGCAACAATAACAACAGCCGCCAACGCTCATGGAGAGCCACAATAACAACAGCCGCAAACGCTCATGGAGAGTCACAACAAGTAACGCTAACGGATAGCGAACAACAACAACAGCACCAGAAACAAAAACAAAAACAAACGGCGGCGGCCAAGAGCCGAAATAAAAACAAAACTCGCGCGAATAACTATTGTAAATTTCTTTATTTCCATTAATATGTAAGCTTAGCCACTCGATGTAAGAATTATATTTAAGCTTAAGAAATAATAATTATCTTAGCTTAAGCTTAAGCGAAAGTCGTTGTTTATCTTTTCCCCTCCGTTCTCGCATCACCAGCAGCCACATACCAACACAGCGGCCGACACCTGAATCACTGCAGAGCCGCGCAGGATCTTCTGACGCAGACGGTGCGCGAACGCGGCTCAGAGGTAGCTATCCTCAGCGAGTGATACAGGATAGGAGACAGTCGAGACTGGGCCACGGACCGTACTGGCAAAGCGGCCCTGTGGAGGAGTGGGCGCGCAGCAGATGTGCGACATCAAGCGGCTGACGGCTTCGTCAGAGCAAATGTTGGCGGTACGTGGCTATACAGCTGCTACCTGGCGCCCAGCCTTTCGCTGGAGTCCTTTGATCGAATCCTGGATGAGTTGAGCATCGACTTCCGGGGACATAGCAACGCCGTGGTCGGTGGCGACTTTAACGCCTGGGCTATCGAATGGGGATCTTCCCGGACAAACGCAAGAGGCCGCGCGGTGCTGAAAACCTAGCGTTGCTGACGGAGCAAGTGGCCGGGCTTTTTAACAAATACTTCCAGGAAGGTACGTTCCCCGTAAGGTAGAAACGGCAACGGCTGTTAGTGTCGGCCAAGCCAGAAAAGCCTCCTACAGGCCAATCTGCCTGCTGGACATAATAGGCAAAGTCTTCGAGATGGTGATCGCAACCAGGATGACAGAAGCCATCGAAGCAGCGGGCAGCCTATCCCCTGAGCAATACGGCTTCAGGAAGGGAAGGTCTACCATTGACGCCATCGTGAAGGTGGTTAAGGTGGCTAGGGAAGCCATCACTGGTTCCAGGTGAAGAGGAGGAACGAAATCCTACTGTGTAGTGGTTACCCTGGACATTAGAAACGCGTTCAACACGGCTGACTGGGGGCGGACACTGGAGTCCCAGAGGATGTTTAACATCCCTAGCTACCTGCTGAATATAGCGCTAAGCTACTTTAGCAACAGAGTGCTCACGATGGACACATGCCTGGGTTCCAGAGCATACAAAGTCTTAGCCAGAGTCCCGCAGGGCTCCGTTTTGGGACCCCTGCTCTGGAACGCCATGTACGACGGAGTTCTGAGACTCCCAATGCCAGTGGGCACCAGCCTGGTTGGTTTTGCCGATGACGTCGCCATAGTGGTGGTAGCCAAGGAGCTAGCTACGGTGGAGGCCCACGCCGACGCAGCGGTGCAGGCTGTTGAGTCGTGGCTAGCGAACGCAGGGCTGCAGCTGGCGGCCCACAAGACGGAGGCGGTGCTTGTCTCAAGTCGGAAAGCGGTGGAGACAGCTAGCGTGAGCGTCGGTGAAACCATGATACGGTCCCAAAGGGCAATCCAGTACCTTGGCGTCCTTCTCGACACGCGCCTGTGTTTCAAGGAGCACCTGGACTTTGTCCACAAGAAGGCCAGCGGAACGGCAGGAGCGCTATCCAGGATGCTTCTAAACACTAGAGGGCCGAAGCAGGCAACCAGGAAATTGCTCACGACGGTTGTGACGTCGCAGATGCTGTATGCAGCGCCAGTGTGGGCGGAAGCCGCTAAGGCATCGTGCGCCGTCAGAATCGCGTGCGCCTTCATCGCCGGACAAGTCCCGGAGCTCATTCAGGAGAGGGCGGAGAACTACGCAGTCGCGCAGGACAGGGAAGCAACCCTGCAGACTAGAGCAGAGTCGAAGGTTACCGCCAAAAGGAGGAGCTTCGAGAACTGGCAAAATCGCTGGGACTCCTCGCAAAAGGACGCTGGACGCACACGCTCATCCCGAACCTATCGAGCTCGGTAGAGAGGTCGCATGGGCAGGTAGATTTCTACCTCACCCAGGTGATTAGCGGACATGGCTGTTTCCGCAGCTACTTAAAGCGATTCGGCCACGAGACGGAGGACTGTTGCCCAGAGTTTGGCTCCGGCGTCGTCGAGGACGCTCAGCACGTGCTGTTCGAGTGCCACCGATTTGACCACGAGCGACATGAGCTGGAGGCGGTAGCAGGGTCCAGAATCTTGGTTGTGCTGATGATGCTGGCAGACCAGCGAGTGTGGGAGGCTCCAGCGACATTCGCCGCGGAAGTTATGAAGTCTCTCAGGGAGTTGGAGCGAAGGCGAAAGGAGCAGACGGAGTAGGAGTCACCGCGCCCGCGAAGCAATGCCAAGCGGCGGTACCGCTGGGCGTTCGATTCGTATTCTTCTGTTAACTGTTAAGCCATCCATGTGTATGTGTAGTGTATGTACCCGGACAAATTTTGAAGCAATCGATTATAAATGTGTTATGATGCAGCCGTTAAATAAAAGCATTTATAGATAGCTTGTACTTTTCTGAAACAAATTGTTCAGTCGCTGCAATATATATAATTCATAATCATAACATTACATAATCTGTAATTCGTCAGTCGCAGCACTCTCATATGCGGCCAAAATAAAGTATAGATTACCAGGTCAAGGGCATATGTAGATTCTGCTGACGCGATGAAGTTGGATGGAGCAATAGCCCCATTCTGCATATACCATTACAACCTACATTATTCTTGCACATCAACATTTGTAAGCATATTTGTTTCCGCATGCACTAGCAACCTACATTATTCTTTATCATTAATATTCGTAAATGCAAGCACATTTGTTAGCTATAAATATCGTTAAGTTTGAATCAATAAAGTCAGTAATCATCTTTAACTCAAAGATATCTTTACTCCTCCAACTGCAGTTCACCTAGTTCAAGTGCTGGGTGCGACACAAACAAGGCAATTAGTTTATGTGCTATTTTGCCAGGCATCGAAGCCTACTCACACTAACAAACACTCATATAAACATTTTGGTGACCCCGACAGTTCACGTCCTGCCGACAATTCACGTCCCGACGTCCTGCCTAACGTCCTAACGATCGAATCCTAAGGACAATTCAAGTCCCACGAGTCAAGTTCCCCAACTCTTGGAACAATCCTGGGCATCCTTTGAAAAAATCCTTCCACTAGAACTTAGAATCTAGTGTGTTCTCCAAGTCAAGTGAACAAGTGCTAATTCTTTAGACCGCTAAACGGTTGCGAATAGGAGCGTATCCAGCTTTAAAAGCGAATAAAACAATCCCAACGGGTCAAGAATATAGCACTTTTCAACATGACTAGCATGGAGGAGCGAGCAGCCACAGAGGCGTTAGACTTGCAGGAAGAGATCAGTCAAGAGATCTCAAAACTGATCCGCAATTTCAAGAAAGATTCTGCGAGCAGGAAACAAAACCCAACATACTTTCAATCTAAGTTGGCCGCAATCGATGAAGCGTGGAATCGATTTGCGGAAAATGACCGTAATGTTCTGGAGAAATATAGAACCTCGGAATATGTAAGGTTTTACAAAGACTGTCGTGACTCATTCGACAAGTATCGAAGCGCCATAACTGACGCAATGGCTCAAACTACGAGCCATGCCCAAGGAAACGCAGACGCTGCAAGCATACAGCAGCCTGTGGGCAAACTCATGTCAACATGCCGACAGTACGGAAAATGTGGTATCTAAAAACCACCGTAACTGGAGAGGCAGAGAGATTGATAAGACACATCGATCTAAAAGAAGAAAATTACACAAGCGCATGGGGCATATTGGTTGACGAATACAACAATCCCCGACACGTAGCCGACACGATTCTTAATCGTCTCTTGCAATACCACACAAGGAGCATCATCGTCCTCGCCCCCTTCATCGTCGTTCTCGTCATCATCATCATCAGCCGCAGCAGAGATTTTTCTTTTGGTTGGAATTAACGCTTAGCCGCAGCCGCAGAGTTTTTTTTTTGTTTTTTTCAGGGATCGTAACAGTTATAATTTTTATAATACAAATTATGAAATAAGAGTTATTTTACAATTATATAGAAAAAATAGGAAATTAATTCTTATTATTCAAGTTTTATAAAGAAGTTGTAGAATAATTATTATTTTTCAATTTGTATATAAAAGTTGAGTTATAACAGTTATTTTCAATTTTTAAAATAATAATTGAAAATTAAAATTATTTTCCAATTTTTATTTTAAAAATTGAAAATAATAATTATTCTCCAATTTTTATTTTAAAAATTGAAAATAAAAATTGAATCGCAATTGATGTATATATTGTGGTAATTGCTTATGCATAAAAATATGCGTATACGTAATGCTTATTACATTCCCCAAACAAACAAGGATACTAAAATACCTTTTACAAATGGCAAGCCCAAAATGCAGATAACGAAAATATATATAATAAATTGTCACCTTTTTATTTAAATATTATTACCTGTAGCTGGGTAATTATCTCAGTATTCATGTTTGTTTGTGAAACGGTGAATTTTTTATTATATGCACTTATGTTCATGTACATATTTGTGTACATGCAATAACCACAATATATACATCAAACGAAAGGTATTGAAGCGTAGAATCATTATATATGCCAATCTTTAAGATATACCGCTCCGTTGGAAAGTTATTGCGATTCAATTTTTATTTTCAATTTTTAAAATAAAAATTGGAGAATAATTATTATTTTGAATTTTTAAAATAAAAATTGGAAAATAATTTTAATTTTTAATTTTTTAAAATAAAAATTGGAAAATAATTTTAAATTTCAATATAATTTTAATAATTTTAAAAATTGAAAATAACTGTTATAACTCAACTTTTATATACAAATTGAAAAATAATAATTATTCTACAACTTTTTTATTAATATTTAAAAATAAGAGTTAAAGCGCAATTAAAAAATAAAAATTGGTTATAAAAGTTTATTTTATTTTTGAGAACTCCTTCAAAAATTATGGTATACCTAAATATTTCATCTTTCCAGCTCAATTTTTTGGTAATAACTTTTATTTTACTCATAACTCTTATTTGCAATCCCTGGTTTTTTTTTGTGCGAGAAATGTGCGTGTACACGGGAAATAAATTACTACCGAGTACTCGGCCATACAAACGCGAGAAATTTAATGCTCATGCCCTGAGCGCTGTGAACTTTCGTGGTGGTGAAAATTCCTAGTGACGTCAGAGAAATTGCCTAATTAATAAAGTGACAAGAAAAATGAGAAATAGGAAATTGAGTGAAGTTAAGAAAATAATACAGAATGGCCGAAACGGAAATTTAACGCCAGCAATCTAGTTTGCTATTTTTACTATAACATTTCCTATGGGAATCTCAACTATAGATTTTTTTTAAGTGCTGAAAATTAGCCCAGTAAAAGAAATTAAATCATAAATGGAGTTTATTTACTGAAATCTTGATTTGAAGTCTGCAGATTACCTGCAAAGAAACTATCTAATATATATACCTCTAATTTTAATTTATTTCGAAAATTAATGAAAAATAATTGTTCGAAGTGTACCGAGTGAAAAATATGGAGACAGTGCGAATGATCATAATCAAAACAAAACCCGAAAACCGCAATCAAGCAGAGTAAAAGCTTTAGTGTTTTCGTTACCGACGTTTAGATTTCTTTTCAGCAAACATAAACGCCTCTTGCAGCTCTCGGCGAAAGATCTTTCTACGTGGGAATTGCAGAAATGTGAGTTAATTGGTTGTCCAAATGCCAAGCTTTAAAGTTCGAGTGAATAAGAATTAGAAGCTCGGTAATGCAGACATTGCGATCCGTTAATTATTTTTTAATTTTACATTACACTGCCTACCAAGTATTTTCGTATGCCTATATTATGAGCTCTAGTATTACACTTTAAATATCTTTATATTGTATAGTATAACTACCTTTTTTGAAAAATGAATAGGTTAAAGCTATATTTGTTAAAACTATATTGTTAATATCTTATGCCATATAAAACAGCACAAATTTATGGAAATGAAGCTGAACCTATTTTTGATTATTTTTATTTATAGAATAAATATTATTTACTTGAAGATGCACTAAATGAATATAATGTTTGAATCCAGTCGTGTTGGAATGTCATGGCCCAGTAGAGGTTAACCTTTCAAGGGATTTCTGATTAATTTCGGTCGATCCAGAGATCGAGGTAGGGTGGGCGATTTTCGCAGCTATGTGAAAACCAGTAGGAAGGTTTCCCATTGCTGTTTACTTTTTGTTCCCTTATAGCGCCGGTCCTTCATGAAGCTGACAAGAATAGTAGTGACGACACTCCTCCTTTTATAATCCTTTTTGTACGCGAATTCATTTTAAATCATTATTGCTAACGCAGGAGAGTAGAGCTAAGCGGAAACCTATCTTACCCCCCCCCAGCCGGAAATGCAAGCGCGTACTCTGCCTTAGTTTAAACCACCATCCGCTCTCTCTATCACCACAGCAACGTGATATGTTACAAAATTTAAAAAAACAGTCAAGTTATAAATTTTTTCCTAAAAATTTATCGAACATTTGTATGGCAGCTATATGATATAGTCGTCCGATCCGGCCTGTTCCGACATATATAGCAGTGAGAGTATATAGAAGACTATATGCAAAGTTTCATTTAGATAGCTTTAAAACTGAGGGACTAGTTTGCGTAGAAACGGACAGTCGGACGGACGGACGGACGGACGGACGGACGGACGGACGGACGGACGGACGGACGGACGGACGGACGGACGGACGGACGGACAGACAGACGGACGGACGGACAGACGGACGGACGGACAGACGGACGGAGTGACAGACGGACTCGGCTGTTGATGCTGATCAAGAATATATATACTTTATAGGGTCGGAAAGGTCTCCTTCACTGCGTTGCAAACTTCTGACTGAAATTATAATACCCTGCAAGGGTATAAAAAGGTGAAAAAAATGGAAACCTGGCAGGTAGCGATTTAGTTGTACAAGCACAAACCAATGTTCCGTTTTTTTAGGTTCTTTAACAGTTTATGAATGTATCTATCATTTAAAGTAAAAACCATGAGCATTGGTTTTATATTTTTTGTCTACAATGACTTGAAAGTCGACCAATTTACCCATTTTGTTTTGTATGATGCAAAAAGCGAAAAAAAGTTAAACTTCGAATGCTTATATCTTCAACAAAAAAATCTTAAAATTGATTTTAGTGCAGACTCTAAGACCTTGAAAAACTTTCGGTCGAATAAGTATGGTTAGAATCGTTTTTGCGTTTTTTCGATTTTTTGAACGCTAATTGTTTAAGAGGCGCTCCTGTGCGGCGGCTCAAAGT